ATAATCAACTAAATAAGAACACAGAAGTTATCTGGGAAATTCTGCATCATCATAAATGTCAAGTTATGTGACCTGGTGCAAAACCTACTGATCGATCATACACTTCAACAAACTGACATCAGGGAAAATCCCACAGTTTTTGTCAAAGGAACCCAGGCAGGTTTACCTTCATGGCTGGCCACCTGAAAAGTGTTTGTTTGTTTGTGCTTTTCTTCTTCTGAGAGTTGATATAAAAATCTGTGACATGCTTGTGCTGCAGTTAGTGTCAGTCACGCGCTGATGCTTCGGCCCCCGGGGCTGCGTGCCGATCACATGACAAATTTCTGCTCTGGATCATCGTAGGGACGCTTCACTTTGTAACTGCAGACTCTTGTTGTGTTTTCAGAAAGAAGAGAGGGTTTCGGCGCTCCGCAATCAGCTGGCTGAACGACAGGCTCTACGTAACCGCCGCCGACCCTCCGCGGGCCAGAATCAGAACCACAATGCCCCGCCTCCTTCTTCTCAGCCAGATCCCAAGTCCCTGCTCCCTCCGCCCGGCTATCCCAACCCGACCACGGACAATCATTCCCTCCCACCTTCCTTCTCCAACTCCTCCAACCTCTACCCAGCAGACAGCAAGATGAGCCGCAACCACTGTCACAACAGCCAGATCCCGCTGCTGTATAAATAGGTGAAACACGGGAGGGTCCGGGCGGGGGAGGCGCACACGAGGGACACAGAACAGCACGAGACACTGTGAGTTTCACTTGTTTGGCCAACGAGCACAGCGGAGTAGTGACACTGTTTTAAAACACGGCGTGGAAGCTGAAGCGAGTACACAGGAGCGCTTTACACTCGGGGAGAGTCACACAGGTAACACCCATCCTCTACGTTTTGATCTCACTGTGTTTGACCCAGAAACACGGCACACGCGGCGGCTCGACGTGGCGACAAGCACATCTAAGACTAGCAGCACACGGCGTCTTTTTCAAAGACCAAGCGAACAATAGCCTCTTAATCATTCCGCTCCCTCATTCGTTATCCGGTTTCGTTGTGGAGACGCAGTGTCGAGGATCTTCAAAGGATGTGTTTGTGTCTTTGCTATATCGTCTCCACATTTTGTCTCGAGTTCATTAACTAGACAGACATGCGGTAGTGATTTATATTGGTCTGTAATATTTGATTGTTTTGTCATAGAGTTGTTGTTCTATTCTCTGTTAAGCTTTCAGGAGAGTTGTGAAAACTGAAGTTTGCAAAGGGACAAAGCAATGTACAGTTTTGACTTTTTTTCCCCCTCTAGTGTTTCCTCTAAGAGCAGCCGAGAAGCTCAGAAGCGAAAATGTGCATTATTAAACAGCCATAAATTAAAACGGCCAGGGAGCTAAGCATGCATGGATGTCTGTTGTCGGGACTGTGTGTTCAAGTACAAAACTGCATTTTAATAAGCTAGTTCCTTATTAGACCCATGTTGAAGAAGACGATGATCAAAGTTACTGATGAATGAGGACAGTTTTGAAAGCTTTGGGCTTTGAAATCATATTTTACATGTATTTTTTGAAGTTTGTGTTTATTTAGCAGTACAGTACAGTAGGAGAC